CGATTTGTTGTACAATTGACATGCATTAGTATAATTGGTATAAATCAATATGCTCAGAAGCTTTGTTTCCTCAGTTATTTCATCTTTCACCCATCACAGTTTTTGGCAAAGCCAGTCAGATCGATAAAGGACTCTGACCTCCGGGATAGTATCTTAGCTTTTTGGAAGACTGCCCCGGAGGTGGGACTCCCCCCTCGATTTCAGATTCTTCCCAGCTAAGGTAAGCTTTACCCCCAACCTGCTGGAAAAAAGATAGTCCCTTTAAGGGAATGATGGGCTCCAGTAGTAGTAAAATACTGAAGAGACACTCTCTTTTTAAGGGGACAATGGATTTTGATAATAATAAAATACCAAAAGATTCCTCCTTGGATAAAATTTCTTTTACCAGGGCAAGATGGCTCTGTTAAATTGAAACTCCCTTAGGAAAATTCTTATTGGCCTGGAAACAGGTATAGCTTTCCATACAGGTGTGGAGGGGGTCAGTAAAAGATAGAGCTCTCAAATTATGCTCAAATATCTGAAAATCCAAGTGAGTCTCAAAATTGGCCTGAAGAAGGGACTTTTACTTATGGCAAATTAAAGGCTTTGAGATTATACTTTCAGTAGGAGGTAAGGAGGCTAACAAGTATGTGATTGTTTTATCGTTTTGTCTGTGTTCTTGTTTCTTTGTAAAATGCAGAAAAATCTTTGTCTTGTGTCATGTTTAGCGTTGTTTGTAAATTCTGCTACCTTGAAAGATTTCTAAGGGGAAAATGCAGCTCACCAGGACTGCCAAAAAGCTGCAGCCAAAGAGAAAGGAAGATGAATGACATTTCATATTTGAAGCAGTTCTCCTAGCTTTCTGTAATCTGATGCTAAACTCGACGTCCCAGTCAACGAGACTGACTCCCACTTTAGAGTTTCAGTGGGAAAGTAGGTTCAAGAAAAAACAAAACCACCTGCAAGATACTTTCTCTCCGTCATTTCAACCCTGGCTACATTGGGATTACAGAAATAAAGTTAGAGAATCAAAGAAAGGAAAACTTTTTCCTGGTTTCTAAGAATTTGTGGCATTATAAATGAATTCGAGATTCCAAATTATGGTAACTGCTAAAGACATCTTAGTAGTTTTTGGAGGTTTGGAGATTAATCATTGAGGAGTTTGGAGATATAATCATTTTAAGATTGCAGAGAACTCCTGAGACTTTGGTTAACTCCAGGAACTCATCCTCTTCTCTTCGTTCTATCTGCTAAGGCACTTAGCATATGCTGAAATATCTTAGTGAGTTTTGAGGTAACACTGTAGAATTTCTTTTAAGGAAAAATAAGAATGCATTTCTGTTTCGGGGGTGAAAAGCACTTAAATCACCTTTTCTCCGAAGTTTGATAGAGCTGTTGTTTCAGTGTAACAAAGAAAGGCAGCTAGTTTGAAAGAAATCCCAAAGGGAAGAAAAACATTAGGTATGCAATTGACATTTAAAATTTGTCTGGAACTTGGTAGCTGCCTCTCATTAACCCTTTCTTGACCATGAAAAGAGAAAAACTTGTTTAAATCAAGGAGCAACTTAAAAATGCATAAAATTTAATTTAGGAATGGAAAGGGTGATTTAAACCAAAGAGGGGTCTGTGAGGAGGAACTGCTTCCCCCCTCATCAAAGAAAATTAAAAAGGAACTATACATTGGTAAACTCTTAGGAAACCTCAAAAGATTAACAGTATTGCAATTAATTGGGGTTCTGTAAAATTTTGTGCTAAATTTCAAAGGAGAAATTCTACGGAATAAAAATTAGTTATTTAGATAATTTGGGGTATGATCAGGAAATATCAACACTCTGCCCCTGAAAGACCATTCTGGGCAGGATGTATGCCCCAGTCTTTAGAATCGTCTGAGCTCCAAAGCAAGGGGATTGAAATGTGAAGCTGCCTCTTGGAATCTCTCCATGGAAAGGGGAAAGTGCTACCTTGAACTTTTGAAAAGGATCTAATTATTAATTCTGGGTTCTAAATTTTAAAGCCAGGTGCCTAATGGCCCTGAAAAACTGAGATTTTGATTTTGTGGTTGTAAATCCAGATTTGATTTGGTTGATATTTGTCCTGTAACTAAATTATGATGTAGTGAAATGTGTTTTATTAATTGTGGCTTCAAATGCAAAGAAAAAAAATGCTGGAAAATGCATGGATCAGGGAAACCTGAGTTACACTCCAGTCTCAGAAATTTATTAGCTGTGTGATCTTAAGCAAATTATCTCTGTTTACCTCAGTTTCTGGATTGGTAAAGAGGAAAATAATAATGGTACCCACCTCCAGGGTAATTGTGAGGATCAAATGATATAATCATTTCGAAGTGCTTGGCACAGTGACTGGCATGGTAAGCACTATATAAATGTTGACAATTCTTATTGTTTCTTTGACTGTATATTGTGATAATTCTATACCAGGTTTTAGATGTGATTAATATAAAATGCCAAAAGATGATAAAATGAATGATTTTTTTGTGTGGGAAAATTCGGAAATGCATTTGGCTGAATTGACATCATCTGACTGGTAATAAGTTTTATTTCATGTTTTAAATACATGGTATTGTGTATGTTATTATTGTGTTTCAAAAATTTTTTCTTATATCGTGAAATGCTGTGAGAAACCATTGTATCAGAAATGCTGTTAGATAAATAACTTCTCTTTTAATCTGGATGCTGTTAAAAGAATGTGATAAAAAATAGATATTTGAAAACTGTTAAATATTTAATGGTGTATATTTTGTCTTAAAATGAATAAATGATAATTTTAATAATGATAATAATAATAACTTACTGTCTTGGAAAAAAGCTGTACAGACCCTTTAAGATATCCTTATCTGTGAGGCCCCTTGAGACTTTGTATTCAGACTGGATCATAAGATCTTATCAGTCCCGCTGACCACATGTTGAAAAATCTAAAGTACTGAAGTTTGAGAACCTAGAACCAAGAAAATAGGATCCCCTCTCCTACTCCTACTCCTTCTTAAATTAAGGGGGGGAGGGGAAGATAATTCACAAATTCACTATAATAAAGAGTGAGTTTTCATTTGAAAATTTTTGGCTATCCCTTATACAAATTACAAAAATGTATAGGGTGCTTTAAAGATGCAAATTCAATACATTAATATGAGTCAACTATCAGATATTTGCTGTATGTCTGAAATCCCAGAATGTAATTTGTTTCAATTTATAAATAAAGGATAAATGAAATGTAATTGTTAGGGAAACATAAGAAAATTAATAATATTCAAGCCCTAAGTTGTGATTAGTGAAATTTTGCTATTTGAGGTAAAAAAACCTTGGGACTAAAATTTGATAGTTTTGAGTTTTGATTACAGTGATGGTTGTCTGAATTGGCATTGTTTTTCCTCAAATTAGAAATCAAATTACCTAATCTTGTATCCTGTTAATTATTTTCTTTAAATGAATAAAAATGGCCCTCCCCCCCATTCGTGGTACAGTGCCAAGCTGAGGAGGCCTGGTCCCAATTGTTATGCAATTGGCATGCATGAATTAATAAAATCAATATGTTCGAAAGCTTGAGCCTTTGTTTCATCTTTTACCCTTCATACAATGACAAGAAACCCACTGCCTCCCAAGGCAACCTATTCTCCTTGGGACGGCTCCCAGTGTAAGAGATTAATTCTGCATGTTAAGACAGAATTTGCCTCTACAACTTTCATCCATTGTTCCTAATTCTGTTTGCTGGGGCCAAATTTAATCCTTCCTTCTAACTACACTTCTAAAACTAGAAGACAGTTCTCTTGTCCCCCACACCCAGCTTTATCTAATTGTTGTCATTCCTGGAGCTGGGCACTGAGTGAGGGAGGACCCCAGAGACCATGAGAGATGCCCAAGGCCCTCCTCTGCCTCTCTCCCTCCAGACATCCCTCTTGGACACCTCACTTGGGAGTCATGACCTAAAGGGATTGCTAGTTATGTGATCTTTCCTTTCTCATTGATGAAAATGTTTAGAAAGCGTTGTTTCACCTTAAGGATTGCTTTGCCTGAATCCCAAAAGTTCTCTCTGGGATGTTTTCTCATTTTTGTCATTTTGTTTAAAAAAAATGCTATCTCATTTTTGATTTACCCCTTGTCACACCAATTCTTTGGGATGACATTATTCTCCAAGTTTGAATCCTTTTTGATTGCATCACAGTCAGTAACAGATGAGGTCTAATCTTTTTGCTTTTTGTTTTAGAGGTTTTCTTTTTCTTGTCTTCTCTGCGTATGTCTCTCCTCCATCTTTGTCTCTTCCTTTGCCTGTTTATTTCTCCATCTTTCCTCTGTTTCTGATCTCTTTCTCCCTCTCCTTAGGTCCTGCCCTTCTGTCTCCCCCCTTCTACCCTTGCCAGCCCTGCTTCCTGGGCCTGGGGATCTCGAGAACCCTCAACCCAGGGTCGGGGCTTCTTCCCTCCATCTGGGAGAGCAGCATTCCCACCTGTGGGGCCTCAAGAAGGAGGGGAAGAGATAAGGAAAGGAGAGGAAGATGGAGGGAAGGAAACAGGGCTAGGAGGGAAAGGTGTGGTGGAGAGGAAGGAAGAGGGGGAAAGGCAGACGTCCCCTCAGGAGACACACACACGGAGGAAAGATACAGTTCCCTCCTTTCCCTGCCGCCCAGTGCAGCTTCCAGGGCCTGGGGGTCTGGAGGTCCCCCAGCCCATGATGGGTAGGGCTCCCCTCCATCTGGCAGGGGAGAAGGTTGCGGGAAGAGGAGGAAGATGGGGAGGGGGAAGAAAGATGGAGGGAGGTGTCAGGAGCTCTTTAAGATTTAAGGAAACGCAGCGAGCCATAGAGAGAAAAATCCCCCATCTCACATCCTCCCCCCCCCAACCCTCCAGGAGGTTGTGCTGGAGGGGCAGGTGAGGCGGGAAGGAAGTCTCTCTCCAGAATTGGCTCCTCGTAACCCTAGCCATGCCCCTCCTCCTGGCTCCTTTCCCTCCCTCCATGTGGCTTCCGGTCCTTGGCTGAGGTCACTGGGTTCTAGTTCCGGGGCCGCCTCCTCCTCTTTATCCCTCTTCCGGCTGACGGGGAGGTAGGGCTAGACCATACCCTGGGCCTGAAGCCCAGCCAGGCCGTTTTCTCCCACCTCTCATCATCTGGCTTCACAGGCCCCCCCCCCCATAGAAGGCCATCCCCGCCCCATCTTCTTCCATCGTCACCGCCCTCTATTTTTCCGTGAGGGACGGAGGTAAGCCCCTCCTCTTGGTATGACGTCACACACGCCCCCTTCCCTTTGAGTGCTTTCTGTATAGGGAGGGGCTGGTTCCACGAAGGTGGGGTGGTGGCGCAGGCAGCTTTAGGTCCCCTACCCCATCCCCAGTTTCCAGTGTGTGAGAGAAACCAAGCTCTAGTTAGTTCCCCCCCCTACTCCAGCCTCTGGGGTACCCCCTTCCTCTTCCCCCTTCCCTAGACCATCCCCGCAAGTCTGGTGGTGCTCAGCAGGGTGGGGAGAGTACCACCCCACTCAAGGACATGGGACCGCACCCAAAAATATGGCATCTCATGCTCCTTCCTCCCTTCCAATGTCGCCAGCCCTGCCCTTCAGACTTAGGAGTCCCTGCTGAGGAAGAATTCAGTGTCCATGAAGGTGTCAGCTGGTCTCTATTGCTGGTTGCCATGGTGACTGGTCTGTTTCCAAGGAAACCCTGAATCCTGCTGGCCCTCACGCTAGCTAGCTCCTAATCAGACCTGTATCATGTGACCTCTCAGCCAGGAAGAAACATGGGCTTCTTCCCCACTTTGAAAAGCCAGGAGGGCATAGTCCTAACTCCCTTAGGTGCTGCAAAACAACAGGAGATATGCACACATTTCCATTTATACATATCCATGCACAGAGAGAGACGAAGAGACAGAGACATACAGAGAGAGAGAGAGAAAGACAGAACCAGAGAGAGGAACAGAGAAGCTGAGAGCAGAACAGGAGCTCTGTAAAGTAGCTGTAGGGACAAGACTGGAGCCAGGAGAAGAATATAAACCTGCCATCTATCATGTCATCCGTCCACTGATCATCTCCCAGCCAGTTTGCCAGTAAATCTGTCCATAGCCCAAATGCATGGCTCAATTCTTGAATTTCCCCAAAAAGTCTCTGGACAGTAAGGAATGCTATGCAGATCACAAGGCTTCAAAAATGACAAAGTTTTTACATGCCACATGGGGACCAAGGGACAAGATCTACAAGAAAATAACATAGAAACAGTTTAGAAGGAACCCAAAATAGGTAACTGAGAAACTTTTAATTCCATGAGGAATACAGAGAATAAATAAAGAAAAATTCTATTGTCACACACTTCTCTTGCCAGAGAAGTGGTGGATCTAAAAGACAGAATGAGCCATACATTTTTGAACTTGGTCAATATGAGAATTTGTTTTGCATGATTGTGTCAGTTAGTCAATAATCACCATGTCAGGAAAGCACACTGCAGGCTGTGGAAAGTATAGAATCACCTTTGTATCTTCCCTCCACCCCCATCCACAATCGTGAGGCTAAATGTCTTAGACTTCAGCAAGGTGTTGGGCAGAGAGGAAACTAAGAAGGAAGATACTTTGGCCCTCCTCAGTGTTGATAAAATGCTGTCAGGAATGCATCAGGGCAGCCCATGGGCCAGTGGGAATCCACCTTGTCTCTACCCTTGAAGGTAGGGAATAAGTGATCTGAGCTGGGGGAGCTAAGGTACTTAACGTGGAGAAGGGGAGAAAAATGAGCCCAGACTGGAACAGCCTTTTCTTCCTGAGGACAGGGAGCACAGACAACTGAGAGAATTCTCTGGTTTCAGGTGATAGGGTGGTCCCCTGTCCCAAACCAGGAAGCCACCACCTGGGCATTCAGTCCACCCTACCTGGTGGGAGCAGTGCAGACTATGAAAGCCTAGAGGACCAACTGATCCAAGACATTGTCTCTTCTTCACAAACCAGTCTCATTGTATGTCTGTATGATGTGAAAGTCAGTCCTCAGTTCCTCTAATCTTTCAAAAGTTTTTTAAATTTTTTAAAAATGTGTAAAAACAATTTTTGACATTCTTTTTTTTTAAATTTTGAGTTCCAAATTATGGCCCTCCCCTCTCCTTGAGAAGGAAAGCAATTTGATATAGATTATACATGTGCAGTCATGCAAAACATTTACATGTTAATCATGTTGTGAAAGAAAACATAACCCCCCCCCAAAAAAAACGAGAAAGTTAAAAAAGTATTCTTCAATTGCATCCAAACTCCATCAGGTCTTTCTCTGGAAGTAGATAGCATTTTTCATTGTAAGTCCTTTGGAATTGTCTTGGATCATTGTATTGCTGAGAATAGCTAAGTCATTCACAGTTGATCATCCTTATAATATTGCTATTACAGTATACACTGTGTTCCTGGTTCTGCTCACTTCATTCAGCATCAGTTTATATTAAGTCTTTCCAGGTTTTTTCTGAAATCATCCTGCTCGTTATTTCTTACAGCATAATAGTATTCCATCATATTCCCATCCCACAGCTTGTTCAGCCATTCCCCAATAAATGGGCATCCCCTCAATTTCAAATTCTTTGCCATCATAAAAGAGCTGCTACAAATATTGTAATATAGGTCCTTTTCCTTATTTTTGATGTATTTGGGATACAGACTTAATAGTGGTATTGTTGGGTCAAAGAGCGTGCCCAGTTTGATTGCCCTTTGGGCATAGTTCCAAATTGTTTTCCATAATGGTTGAATGAGTTCACAATTCTACCAAAGCTGCTTTAGTGTCCCAATTTTCCCACATCTCCTCCAACATTTATCATTTTCCTTTTCTGTCATAGTAGCCAATCTGATAGGTGTGAGGTGGTACCTCAGAGTTGTTTTAATTTGTATTTCTACTCAACAGTGATTTAGAGAATTTTTTCATATGACTATAGATAGCTTTTATTTCTTTGTCTAAAACAACTACCTGTATATCTTCTTTTACCATTTATCAATTGGAGAATGACTTGGCATTATTATAAATTTGACTCAGTTCTTCATATATTTGAAAAATGAGACCTTTATCAGAGAAACTTACTGTAAAGTTTTTTTTTAATGGTTATGATTATTATTTCCCTCCATCCTATTTTTTTTTTGCCTTTTTATCCTTCTCTCTCACCCTTTACCCTGGCCCGCCTCAAAAGTGGTTTACTTCTGACAACCATCTCTCCCCATCTGCCCTCCCTTCTATTAGCACCCCTCCCCACTTCTCTTATCCCCTTTCCCTCCTATTTCCCTGTAGGGTAAGATAGATTTCTATACTCAACTGAGTGTGTATGTTATTCCCTCTTTGAGCCAGTTCTGATGAGAGTAAGATTCAAATGTTGTCTTCCACCCCCATCCCTCATTTTCCCCTAGAGTGTAAAAGCTTTTTGACACATCTTTCACGTGAGAAAATTTACCCTATCCTACTTTTCCTTTTTCTCTTTTCCCAGTGCATCTATTTCTCACACTTTAATTTTAATTTTTAAATATCATCCCATGATAGTCAACTTACACCCATGCCCTCTGTCTATGAATTATTCCTTCTAACTGTCCCAATAATGAGAAAATTTTTACGAGTTACAAGTATCATCTTCCCATTTAGGAAAGTAAACAGTTTAACCTTATTGAATCCTTTATGATTTCTCTTTGTTGTTTATCTTTTGATGTTTCTCTTGAGTCTTATATTTGAAGGTCAAATTTTCTAGTCAGCTGTGGTCTTTTTATCTGGAATGCTTGAAAGTCCTGTATTTCGCTGAATATCCATTTCCCCCCCAAAGAATTATACTCAGTTTTGCTGGGTAGGTGATTCTTGGTTGTAATCCTATCTCCTTTGTTGTTCAGAGTATCTATTCCAAGCCCTCTGATCCTTTAATGTAGAAACTGCTAAATCTTGGGTTATCCTGACTGTGGCTATGATATTTGAATTGTTTCTTTCTGGCTGCTTGCAATATTTTCTCCTTGCCCTGGGAGCTTTGGAATTTGGCTATAATATTCCTGGGAGTTTTCATTTTGGGATCTCTTTCAAGAGGTAATCACCCGATTCTTTCAATTTCTATTTTACCCACTATTTCTGGGATATCAGGACAGTTTTCCTTGATAATTTCTTGAAATCTGATGTCTAGGTTCCTATTTTGATCATGGCTTTCAAGTAGTCCAATAATTCTTAAGTATCTGCCCTCGATCTATTTTCCAGGTCCACTGTTTTTTTCCAATGAGATGTTTTATGTTTTCTTCTATATTTTTTCATACTTTTGGTTTTATTGATGTATCATAGAGTCATTTGCTTCTATTTGCCCAATTCAAATAAAAAAAATATTTTCTTCAGTGAGCCTTTGTATCTCTCTTCCCCATTTTTCTAATTCTACTTTTTAAGGATTTCTTTTCTTTAGTGAATTTTTGTACATCTTTTTCCATTTAGCCATTTCTGATTTTTTAGTTCTTCTCTTCAGTGGAGTTCTCCTCAGTAGACCTCTTTAACCATTTGCCTACTTTTTTTTGGTAAATTTTTATTCATTTTAAGCTTAAATACAAAATGAGAAAAGAAAAAAAAGAACATTTCCATGTACACAGCAGAACGTGAGAGGATTCAATATAAAACAATAAACTTCCATTTCAAGAAAACCTATATAATAAATACTACACATTGTTTTCAAAGCTACCTAGCTTTTCTTTGCTTCCTTCTAGGGTTTTTTGTTGTTGTTGTTGTTCTCTGCTGTGCATTTTTCACTTTATTTTTTTCTCCCTCCCTCCAAACCCCTCTCCCCTCTAAAGAAGGCTACAGTTAAACAAAGAGATAGATTATAAACATATACATATGTACACATATACACTCTTACACATATATGTAGCACCATACTATGTATATTTCCACTTGTCATCTGTTCCTCTGGAGGTAGATTAGCATCTTCCTTCATAGATCCAAGTTTTTCCATGTTTTTTCTAAATCAATCAGCTCATCATTTCCTAAACCACAGCAATATTCCAACACAATCATATCCTCTCTGAGAGATTATGTGTGAAAGTTTTCCCCCAATTTTCTATTTCTTCTATCCTTGGCTATACTGGTTTTGTTTATACAAGTTTTTAATTTAAAATAACTGAAATTATCCATTTTACATTTCAGCAGTTTTCTTGCCTTACAATATAATTTAAAGTCTGATACTACTGAATCTCCTTCCTTTACATCTTTTCACCCCTGGTTTATTTTGTTCTTCCAAATGAACTTTGTTACTATTTTTTCTAACTCAGTAAAATAAAATAATTTATTAATTTAATTGGGGTGGCATTGAATAAATAGATTAGGTAAAATTATCATTTTTATTAGATTGTCTTTACCTACCCATGAGCAATAACTATTATTCCAATTATTTAAATCTGACTTTATTTGTATAAAAATGTTTTATGTTTATGTTCATATAATTCCTGTGTCTGTTTTGGCGGGCGGACGCTGATTTATTTTATACTGTTCAGTTATTTTAAATAGTCTAAAACAATATTGAATACTGTTGGTGATACATAGTATAGTTTCCCTATTTTTCTCTTTTAATTAAATCAATTTTAGCTTTAATTTTGAGATCATGATTACTGCCCCTGCTTTTTTTACATAGTAGATTCTACTCCTGACCTTTATTTTATCTTGGTGTATATCTCTCATGTTTATTGTTTCCTGAAAGCAATATATTGTTGAATTTAGATTTTTTTATCTGCTATCCATTTTGGTTTATGGGTAAATTCATCTCATTCACTTTCTAAGCTATAATTACTTGTTGTTTATTTCCTTCGTTTCTGTTTTTCCTCACTATCCTTCTCACCCTATTTACCCTATCCCTTCTCACTTCCCTGCTTTACTTCTACCCACTACCTTGCCCTCCTAGTCCTTAACCTCCCCACCCCTCTAAAAGTCCCTCCCTTATTCTCTCCCCCTGCCTTATCCCCTTGCCCTCTTATTTCTTTCTAAATTTGGAAGACTTTTATACCCTATGAGATGTACATGTTGTTCCCTTTTTATCCCATTTTATGGCTTTTTTAACTCCAGTGTCTTCCTCTCAGTATGAACCCAGATCTTCTTTCTCCTTATAGTAGCCATCTGTGGTTGGATTCTTTCTGTGTTGCTTATTCATTTTATATTTATTTTGTTTTTAACAACTATTAATATAATCAAATACTAGTCCTGAGATGTGGGGAATGATGCCCCAAACCTCAGGTCCTTCCCACAAATGCTCTTGCTCCCTGTGGTCCCTCTGCTACTGCACTCACCAGATGTATGCTAGCTTCTCCCTGGCAGTCTCAGCCTGGGACATGTCAGGTCAGCACAGCTATGCTTGGAGTCCCTCGAGAGTGGAAGGTCCTTCAGTCTTCTCCTACTCAGTCTTTGGACTCCTACACTGTCCATGAGGTGAAAATTTCTGAGGCTGAGGCTGCCTCCCAACCCAGCTGTCCCCAAGGCTTGTTGTTTGTTGATTCTGAGGAATTGGTCTGGAAGTGTTTACACTTCATTCCTGCTAAATTTCTGCCCTGGAGGTCGGGTCTTTCCTGGGGTCTTCTCAAATTGTCTTAGAAGGACAACTGCCTTACCCCAACTCCTCTTTATTTCTGCCGCTCTACATTCACTCTGAGGAGTTGTTCTGTCTTTCCTTTTTTTGTGGAGGAAATTTGGAGAGCCAGAAGTTTTCTGACCTTCTCCTCCATCTTCCCAGAATCCTCTCCAGCCTACTTTTTTTTAAGTATTATTTTCTTCACTATTTTTGTGCATCTTTTAGCAAGCTGTTGATTTTTTTTAATGATTTTCTTACATCACTCATTTCTTTTCCCAATTTTTCCTCTCTCATTTGATTTTTTACATCCTTTTAAAGCTCTTCCAGGAATTCTTTTGTTTGTTTGTTTGTTTGAAACTAATTCACATTTTTCTTTGAGGCTTTGGATATAGCTTTTTTGACTTTGTTGTCTTTCATCTGAGTTTGTGTTTTGATTGTCTCTGCTGCCATAATAACTTTCTATGGTCAGGTTATTTTTTGTTGTTTGCTCATTTTTCCAGCATATTTCTTGACTTTTAATTTGATTTTTAAAGTTAGGCTCTGCTCCTGGTGTGGAGGGGCCACTATCCAAAGCTTCAGGTTTTTCATGCTGCTGTTTTCAGAGCTAATTCTGGGGGGTTCTGTAAGTTTTTGATTCTTCCAAGGATCTAAGGTGAGGTGTAGCCTCTGTTCTCATGGTCTGTGCTCTGATCTGTGAGATACCACAAGTTGTCTTTTCTGCTGTGGTACTCTAACCAGGCTCCTTGCTCTTGCTAGTTTTCCTTGAGCTAGGACTGTGAACCTGAACTGTATATGGACTATGCAATAGAATCTTGTTCTCAGTGCCAGCAAAGGGTCCCCTGTAATCTCCTTCTGACCAGTTGTCCAAACCCCGTACAGTTTGTGACCTGACAGTTCCAGAAGTTGCCACTGCCAATTCAGGCACCCCCAAGGCCTGCTGCTGGCTTGCCAGGGTGGGGCCTGTGTTGGCCTATGCTTCACTCACACCCTAGAGAGACAGACCTTTCCTGCCAACCATCTAAGTTGTCTTTAGTTGCTTCTGCAGCTCCAGAGTTCATTTCGAAGCATTATTTTAAAGTGGTTTGGAGAGAAATTTGGGAGAGTTCAGGTAAGTCCCTGCCTTTACTCTGCCATCTTTGCTATGCTCTTTGTGCTATATATTTTTTTAGTATTTTATTTTTTTTTCCCCAGTTACATGTAAAAACAATTTTCAGCATTCATTTTAAAACTTTGAGCTCAAAACTCTCTCCCTCCCCACCTCTCCTCATTGAGTAGGCAACCAGTTTGATATAGGTTATACATGTATAGTCATGAAAAAAGATACCATAATAGTCATGTTATGAAAGAAAACATAGTCAAAATAAAACTCAAGAAAAATAAGGAAAAATTATAAAAAGTATGATGCAGTCTGTATTCAGACACTGTCAGTTCTTTCTCTGGGGATGGATAGCATTTTTCATCATAAGTCCATCAGAGTTGTCTTAAATCATTGTATTGCTGAGAATAGTCAAGTTATTCACATCTGATCATCATACAATATTGCTGTTACTTTATAGACAGTACATTTCACTTTGCATCAGCTCATGTGAGTCTTTCCAGGTTTTTCTGAGAGCATCCTGCTCCTTATTTCTTTTTTTTTTCTTCTAATTATTTATTTATTTTTAGTTTTCAATATTCACTTCCACACGATTTTGAGTTTTCAATTTTCTCTCCTCCTCCTGTCCCATTCCAAGATGTCATGCAATCTGATATAGGCTCTACTTATACATTCATATTAAGCATATTTTCCCATTAGTCATGATGTAAAGAAGAATTAGAACTAATGGGAGGAACTGTGAGAATGAAGCAATAAAACAAAACAACAAAGGAAAAGGAGAACAAATAGTGTGCTTCCATCTGCATTCAGACTCCATAGTTCCCTCTCTGGGTGTGGATAGCATTTTCCATCATGAAGCATTTGGAGATGTCTTAGATCCTTGCATTGCTGTGAAGAGCCAAGTTTATCAAAGTCAGTCATCCCATAATGTGGCTGTTAACTGTGTACGATTTTCTCCTGGTTCTGCTCACTTCACTCAGCATCAGACCATACAAGTCTTTCCAGGTTTTTCTGAAGTCACCTGTTCATCATTTCTTATAGCACAATAATATTCCATTACATTCATATACCACAACTTGTTCAGCCATTCCCCAATTGATGGGCATCCCCTCAATGTCCAATTCTTTGTCACCACAAAAAGAGCTGCTATAAATATTTTTGCACATGTGGGTCATTTCCCCATTTTTATGATCTCTTTGGGATACAGCCCTAGAAGTGCTATTGCTGGGTTAAACGGTATGCACATTTTTATAGCCCTTTGGACATAGTTCCAAATTGCTTTCCAGAATGGTTAGATCAGTTCACAACTCCACCAACAGTGTGTCAGTGTTCCAGTTTTCCCACAATTTCTCCAACATTTAACATTTTCCTGTTTTCTCATGTTAGCCAATCTGATAGGTGTGATGTGGTATCTGAGAGTTCTTTTGATTTGCAATTCTCTAATCTAATAATTATTTAATAATAGTCTAATAATAATAATCTAATAATGATTTAGAGCATTTTTTCATATGACTAGAGATAGCTTTAATTTCTTAATGTAAAAACTGCTTGTTCATATCCTTTGATCATTTATCAATTGGAGAATGACTTGTGTTCTTATAAATTTGATTCAGTTCTCTACATATTTTAGATGTGAGGCCTTTATCAGAGACACTTGTTGTAAAAATTCTTTCCCAACTTTCTGCTTCCCCTGGTTACATTGGCTTTGTTTGTGCAAAAATTTTTCAATATAATGTAATCAAAATTTTCCATTTTGCATTTCATAATGTTCTCCATCTCTTGTTTGGTCATAAATTCTTCTGTTCTCCATAAATAACTATTCCTTACTCTCCTAGTTTGCTTATAGTATCAGCCTTTACATCTAAATCATGTACCCATTTTGAGTTTATTTTGATAGACAGTGTAAGATGTTGGACTGTGCCCAGTTTCTGCCATACTCTTTTCCTGTTTTCCCAACAGTTTTTGTCAAATAGTGATTTCTTATCCTAGAAGCTAGGGTCTTTGGGTTTATCAAACAGAAGATTACTATACTCATTGACTACTTTGTCTTGCATACCTAACCTGTTCCACCCTTTTTCTTAGCAGTACCAACTAGTTTTGATGATTGCTGCTTTATAATACAATTTAAGATGTGGTATGGCTAGGCCGCCTTCCCTAGCATTTCTTTTCATTAATTCCCTTGGTATTCTGGACCTTTTGTTCTTGCAGATGAATTTTGTCATGATTTTTTCTAGCTCTATAAAATAATTTTTCTTAGTTTGGTATGGGACTAAATAAGTAAATTAATTTAGGAAGGATTGTCATTTTTTATTATATTAGCTCGGCCTACCCATGAGCAACTGATATTTTTCCAATTATCTAGATTTGCTAAGTGCTGTATTTTTCAGGTCTCATTCCTCAGAATGAAAACCACCAGGATATTCCCTGGAAATGTCTACCCCACCAGAAACACCCATACTTTGGAATGATACATTTAGCAGAAGCCAGTGAAGTTTTCTGCAAGATTCTGTGTAGCAGACCTACTGGATATCTCTCATCCCTGTGTCTGTGCTTTTCACAGGTTCTCAGAATCTCATTTCTCAGACAGTGTCCATGAAATGTCATTTGTACAACCAACATGCAGACTTCTTGGTTTTGAAGACACCTAAAACTTATCACCCAACAGAATGGAGCCCCAGAGACCCTGGAAGTATGCAGAGGCAACAACATTTCCAACTCAACACAGTTTTCAGCTTTAGTACGTCCCACAGTGGGAATCTGTTGGATTCCACTCTGAACATCAAAGACTTCGGAGGGAAGCTTAATGGAGGCTGCTCTGCTCTATATATCTACCTTTGGATCCTGAAATTCCCATGGCATGCCATTGAAAAAGGCATCTGCAGTTGTGCAGATGACATGGATATCTAGCATTGCTGATAGACTGCCAAAGAGAGTGATGGTTTCCATTTCTGTAAATGTTATTTGGCTAGCAGCATAGTCCTGTGGATTCTTATGTGGGGAGCAAAGAGACTTTGGAGGCAAGGAGGTCAGATGAAGCTATTATTTCTGCCTGGGCTCCTCTAGGACATCATGGCCTGCTTTAGGAATCTCATCTCAAGATTTAATTCCTCAATCCAGATGCTCGGAATGCCATCATCTGCTTATGATTTCCATGTTGGAAATACCACATGGTGAAGAAAATCAGATGGGCCCTAGGGTAGGATGCTACTTGCTGTTTCCTAAAGATGGTTCATTGTCCCTAGTAATTAAAATTAAGATGGGCAGATTATCTTTACTGATGGCAAAAGGAAGTTAGCCCCATCCTTTTTTCCTCTGTTGTAAAAGTAACCTACTTTCACAACAGAGACAGACAGATACACACACACACAGATTATAATTAAACTAAAGTCTGGCAGCCTTTGAGTGATCTTTCTTTTGTGAAACCGCTTCACCAAAATGTCATCATTTCAGCCTATTGTGTAGTGACCCCAAAACAATTAGTGACCTTTGAGTGGCATGGAGTCTCTTTTGCCTGGGATCCAGCCAGCACAGACTGTGATAATTTACCTTTCTGGGGCAAATTATTGAGAGAACATCCAGAAATAGTCCCCTGCAGTCTTGCTTTGAAGACATTTTCATGCTCTATGTCATTAGAAGGTTTTAAAAATGTTGTATTGGACCAATGGAAGTGATTTCACTCTAGTTAAGCCAATATAACATTCCCCCATTTGCTTACTTTATGGTTAAATTATATGCGACATATGACATTTACTTCTTTCTCTGATTTCCCTTTTCCTTATTTTTTCTTTTAATGTTTCTGGTTGTTTTCAGCATTGGTCCTATCATTACCATGCTGTGTTTCCACCTCTTAACTTCCTCCAACCCCACTGTTAGGTTTTAGAATTGCACTTTCTTTTAAAAGGTTTCTATAATCAAACATGTGACACAGAGGGAAAGAGCCTATGAAGATAGATTCCTCTGGAGCTTTTCTTTGCCTTGTCTTCTTTCCTTTCCCCCTTTATACTTTCTTGTTCAAATGCCTGCAAAATCGACAGGTCTTTGAGAAAGTTGTCTTGGGGGGGGACAGGCTATGTATAAAGAAATTTTCTTAATAGGATAGAATAATCTCTAGTTGCAGGTGAGATAAGGAGCCCTTCCAGTAGCTTTACAATAAATAATTGCCATGTACATGCATACATGCATACATATATATGTGTACATATATTGTTTGTGAAGGATCTTCATTTGCATCGCTTTAATTTATGTTACACACTTTAAGCACTGTTGTTTCTACCCTTCCTCAATGTTCTTCTGTATAAAAGCAACTCAAACTATTTTTTTAAAGAAAGTTTATATTATAGCGGTTTTGAAATCTTTGCTTATAAGTATTAAGAAATGTCTAATTGGCTGCCATAATTTAAAGCTTTGGGGGTGTAGTTTAGTTTTGTTTGGATCTTTTAGGGGCAATATGTTTTTCCTGGAATATGAAGTCTGAAGCCTTCTTGTGCTGGGAATACATGTAAGTTGTTGAAAAATGACAAGCAGTCTGGGTATGTCTCTGACGCTTTGTATCATTCTTAATTGAACACTCAATCATTAGACAATAAATAGTATTATCAAATGAAAAATAATGTTACAAAAGGATTTCAGACCGTGACACTAAATCCTTAGAACTTAAATTAAGTGCTGACAGGGTTTATTTCATTCAGTTGAGTCTTAAAGGAACACAGAATTATTTCATATTTCTTAATATTTTCCTTAAATAGGTAATGGGGAGAGTGGGGTGGGTTAGTATGTCTCCACAGATGGGATGTTTAATAGTTGGAAAAAGAAAAACGTTCTGCTAAGAAGCCTGAGTGTTTGGGTGCTGTCTGTGAAGGTATTACAGCGATCAGGGGGCTTCCTGGTATACTGGAGAGGGCGCTAGCTAGGCTTTGAGGCAGGAGCCAGGATTTCAATGTATATCTCCTGACTCGAGGTCTAGTACTTTCTCCAGTATAGCCTCTTCATTTCTACAATACCATCAGAGATATCACCCAAATAGTCAGCTACCGTGCAGTTTCCTAGGTCTGAAATATATTTGGTTCTAATTCCTACTTTTCAGAATCCTCTTCCTACAAAGTTCATATTAGGGCCCACCCCATCCATGTTGCCCTTCTAGATCTCTCTCTTTGAAAATGCTGTACCCCTCCTCAGATGTTTTCTAGAACCCATAGCCCCAGTTCCTTGAAACTGTAGCTCAGAGAGGAAAGATGACTTCCCTAGCTCATGCAAATAGTAAGCAATAGAACTGGTATTTCAGTCCAACCAAGTCATAGATTCTACATTCAAGCCTCTTTCAGCTACTCATTGTCTCTTAGCTCCATAGGAAGCTAACAGGGAATTTCAACCCAAGGGAAGTGAGGACACAGTAAGAGCTTGTAGCTGCCCTCACGCAGGTCAAGTCCTCTGAAGTGATGGTAATAAAGATCATTCTAGTCCAGAGTATTCAAAGACTTGCTAAACAGTGGCTAGTGACCTTAAGCAACTGCAGTACCTCTTAAGGATAGAAGGTGCTTTAGGTCTGGACACAGGCAAACTTCATCCTAAGTTTTCAAAAGCATAATTTATGGATATTTGGAACTTTAAGGCATTGAGTTTGACTTCAATTCTTGGTAAAATTCTAGAGTTGATTATTTTTTAAAAAATAGTTAATGAGTATCTAGAAATTTAAAAAAAAATTACTATGAGCCAGCATGGGTTCATTAAGAACCAGCTGCACCTGATTAATAGCTTGACTGGGTTGCTAGACTGCTCACTAAATAGAATTCCATGGACATGGTATATCTGGATTTTGGGAAGTCATTTGGCCAAGTATCTGATGATATTCTTGAATCACAACTTGAAGAGAAGTAGACCAGATGATAGTATGGTTAGAATGGTTTGGAACGCAACACCTAAAAAGAGTGTTGGTTAAGGAGAGTAGTGGAGTGCTGTAGTGTAAGGAAGGTGAATTTTAGCATGTTTATGGTGGATTTTTGTTATTCTTTCCTAGAGTTTTCTTCCCAGGATGCATAGCCACAACAATCTCTAGTTTCCAGGTGGTAGATATGAGTTCTCACTGTCATGGTTCAAAACAGTTTCTACTGTGCAGTTACAGTAGATATAGGGATGAAGTGATTTAAAATTGTGAAGCTGTTGTTGGCAATATGCCTTCTTTGTCTGTTGCCCTATAAAGCAAGTGGGCACCGGTCAGTGACTGGGGACCCCCATAAGGGTGAATGTGCAGGCCGAATGCTGTGTGTGCCTCACCCGGCCCCCATTGAGGATTGAGGAGATTTAGGGGATGCACAAGTTGTGCTTGTCTCGATTGATCCCATCAAGACAGAGGGGTAAAGCCCTCCTGTGTCTCCTACCTGAGAAATGGCTTAGTTGGTGTTTACTTGTGAAACACCCAGAAGAGTATCTGTGACCCAATTCTCTTCAACATTCTTATCAGTGACAGGGATGAGGAGGTGGGGGGAAGGAAATAAGCATCTATATAGTAACTCCTGTGTGTCAGGTACTGTGCTATGTGCTTCTTACAAATATTATCTCATTTGATACCCACAACAACCCTGTGAGGCAGTTGCTATTATCATCCCCATTTTACAGTTGAGGAAACTGAGGCCAGGAGGGATTTGGTGACTTGCCCAGGGTTACACAACTAGTAGGTGTCTAAGGTCAGATGTCAACTTAGGTCTTTCTAACTCCAGGCCCAGAGTTCAATCTATTGTACCACCAGCTGCCTCTAGTTATTAAATTATCAAATTATCAGGTGGATGATATACTTATCAAATTTGTAGATAACCCAAATTTGGGAGTGATAGAGGGATAGCTAATATGTAGAATGATATAGCTGATGTCCCCCCCCCAAAATTTCCAGAGGTTATAATGGTGAGCTAAGGAAAATAAAATGAAACTATTTAGGGATAAATATACTGTTCTCCACCTGGATTTAAGAAAAAAATTAGCTGGACAAGACATAAAATGAGGGAGATATTGCTAGGAAACCATTATTGTTGGGAAAAAAAGACCAAGATTTTATTGGACCGCAAGCTCCATATGACCATGCACAGTAATCACACTGATAACGACAACTTTGGCTGCACTGATCCAAGTAGGTAGAAAAGCTAGAGTCCCCTACTGTGCTCTGGTGCTCAGACCATATCTGGAGCAAGGGGTCTAGTTCTGGGGACAACCTGGAGTATGTTCAGAGGATCAAGGGATGCTAAGGCAAGGTAGCAAAATCATGTCAGAAAAAGATTGTTTGGAAGAACTGAGAGTGTTTATCTTAGAGAAGAAATGGTGTGTGTGTGTGGTTGGGGAAATGTAACTGTCCTTAAATATTTGAAGAATTGTCAAATGGAAGAGAAAAATCGATTTTTCTTCTTCTCAGAGCATCCAGTTAGGAGCAATGGGTGAAATTTAATGGGAGACTGATCCTAGCTCAACAATAAAAACATTCTAACAATCTGAGATCTCAAAACTGGAATGGCTCAGTAAGACTCCTGTCAACGGGAGTCTTCAAGAAAAGGTTAGCTGTTCCATGTCAGATCGATTCTTTGGGTTAGGGTTGGATTAGAAGACATCTAGCTCCTCTTCAGTTCTCTAATTCTTTTAGCCTGTGCAATACTAACCATTCATCAAGCCTAACTCATGTCACCTTTTTAAATCTTATGAGCCCTCCTCAACCAAAAAATTACCTCCTTCTCTTCTGAAGGATTGTGACCTCTCTTAACATTTTGTACAGTCCTTCTTTGAACATTTATTTTAGCTTTCTGCTTTTTGCGAGATGTGCTATAAAGTAAGTTATTTGTGTGTTTGTCTTGCATGCTATATTATAAACTTTTAAGACCAAGAGTGACATTTTCTTTTTTGTTTTTATTTTTTCAGCCAAAGACAAAGCTTATTAGAACATCCCTCACACTGAGGAGACTCTTAAGGAGTCTGAACTTTAGTGAGCTATTGGCTAGATTTTAGGAATCTGAGCAGTGGCTAGATTATAAGAATCTGAGCATCTTAATGGAGACAAGATGGACCTGATATACAGAAAGAATGTGGAGGCATCTGGGAGTGGCCAAGTAGTCTGAGGGGACTCTGAGTAATAGAAAGCCAGGGACCTGAACCCTGTGACCAAGGGAGAAAGGAGCTTAGCTAAGATTAAGGGTGGGAAGTGGCAGGGAGCCATAGGGAGGTAAGACAATGGATGACTAGACTAGGTTAAGGATAACAGAGAATTGAGGGATTGGGTGTAGCCACAATGAAAGGCCAGTTGATGGGATTGTAGCTTCAGGTGAATTCCAGAGATTTGGCCATGTGGGAAAATTCAGGGTTTTTCCTTTCTGTGGTCCATATCCCAGTCCCATCATTTCCCCCTCAAACAAATTCTTTTGG